GAAGTCTTTGTCTAAAGTTGTCCGTGCGTTTTATGAAAATAAGTCCTTTTGGTTATTACTGGAGATTCTGGTGTCTCTGTAGCTGGAGACCTCGTGTGTAATCTGCATGCAGGATGAAAAGCTTCTGAGTCTGGAAAAGGAAATCAGTCGCCTCTCGGGTTTTGAAACCGAAATGAAGCGTAAAGATACACTGATAGCAAATCTGCAGGATGAAATTGCAGCGATGGCGAAGACCGTGGCCCAGGCTGCTGCTAGAAACGGTGCGGAGCTGACTCAGAAGCTGCTAACCTTTGACCAAGAAATGGAAGCAAAAAAAGAAGAGATCAAAGCCTTAAAAGAACAGGTACTGAGCACTTAAATAGACACTAATAGGCAGCTATCTCTCTGATGTACACTGATTTTTAGTTTAACATCCTGTTTTTCAGTTCTGGGTGTTTTGCAAGGTGATGTAAGTCACACATTTCATAGTTCTTTGGATGAGTTTCCCTTACAAAAGCTGGTAATTAAATTTTCCCATTTATGTAGTAGAATCTGTAATACAGCAGTAGGAAGGGAAACTTGTGCTTAAGCCAATTTGTGGTGGCCAAAAGACATGCATGATCCTGCTGCATGACCCCTTCTTGTCCCTTCCCCACTTCTGCTCCGGGAACTGACTCAAAAGATGTGTTTGAAGGGGGACTTAAAGTCCCAAGGACAGTTCAGTTCTTTGGCATTGAGGTGAAAATAAATGGCTGTGCAGAAAGGAGAGGCCTTAGAATTGTCTTGTGTTGCAGCTTGCACCCATGTTTAGTGAACAGCAAAAAAATGTGTTTGAGAGACAGACTGATAGACCACATCCTTCTAAAAACTGTGGGAAAAGGGTCAGTCGGAGCTGTCAGGCCTATATGAGATGTTCGTACGTTGGCAGCTGAGTTTCCTTGGATCATGTTGAGATGGGGTGGCAAAGCCAAGGCTGCCTGGCATGGTGATGAGGAGACTGGTTTTGGCACATATTTTATACAGACTAGATCTGAAGGAGGTTGTGAAATGCTTTTGACACTGTCAGCAAGAGGAACTTTGGATAGGCAAGTTCCATGTGGCAAAAAAGTGACCCAATCCTGAGGGTACTGCTGAGATGACACGACACTCTCCACTTCACCCAGGCAGCCTGCCCGTCTCCAGCCAAACACTCTGTACCAGGGCACTCATTCCTGAGCTTCTCCAATATCTGCTTTGCAAAAGGTCCCTGAAACCAATGACTTTTGCAGTAGGAAATCTGTTTTGCTGGTTGTGTTTTGGCAATGATAGCAGAAGTGGATTATACAGATTTTTCCCAGCCCCTGATGCTGGTTAAGGAACATAAAAGCCATGTTTGCAGTGGAAACGTGGCCATGAGTTACCAGCCCCTCCAGATCTTCTTTTCTGTGCCGTAAGTGAGGGTGCACTTTGAGGGCTACAAACCTGCAGGCGCTCCTGGCCGGCACCGTGGCAGCGTTTTCAGCCAGCCCGCGCTGTAAATTCTCAGGATCACAGACAGTGTGATGCACTGCTTCCCTGTGCCTTGTATATTGGGCTTTCCGTGTGAGCAGACAAGAGGGCTTTTAAGAAGATCCTATCAAAACCAATTATTTCTGAGCATTAGCCAAAGACTAGAGAGTGACCCGATGAGACAGGGCCTTGGTGGGCTGGATTTACCGCTCTGAACTGGGCCGTCGGAGGTAGGGAGCTTTTGTGTTACCCGTAGAAATGCTGTGAACCAGTGAGAAACATGTGTGAACTTTGCTTTCTGAGGGCTTAAGTTAAGAGAAAGCTTCAGATGCAGAAGAGCATTTGATCCCTGTAGCAAGAGGAGTTTCTTCTAAAATACTCTCAGCTTTTGATCCAGTAAGAACTGCGACTTTAGTGAGAGCTTGAAAAGTTAATGCAAATGAGAAAAGAGTTCACGCTTCTTGAAGCTTAGAGAACGTTTACTTTGCACTTGGGACAGAAATTTATTGGATGTGAATCCAAAGGAGCCCACGTTCCCCTGTGTTTTGTAGATCAGCAACCTCCAGAAAGACTCCAGCCAAGTTTTTAGCCATTCCCTCTCTGAAAGAGACCTGGAAATTGTAAGCCTGAAAAAAGAAAGCGAGAAGCTAAAGAGGGATCAAGCTCTAACTGCAGGTATTTTTCCATTGGCATTTTGGGAAACTTGGTCTAAAGCACTGAATAGTTTAGGAGTGTCACTTCAAAATGACTAAGTATTTGTAAACTGCCCTGGCGAGCAATGACTTGTAGAGGCACATAAAAATTCTGCCTCGTTTACTATTTCTGGCAGATTTCTGGGACTTGCAGGTAGTCTCTGGCATAATGATTGCAATGGGAGTGAGTCAAAATGTGAGGAAAAAAGGCAGGGAGGGATGGGACAGAGATTTGCTCAGAAGCAAAGCAAAAAGCCCCGCAGTG